CAAAAAAATATACGTATTTTGGAAATGTTGAGTCGAATTAGTCTAGAATCGATTAATTTTATGAAAGAAAACCTTTCAAACAGCCGTAGTCCGTAAACTATGATTCCTACAAAATTGATTCATAAAGAACGGAACGTATCTACCGTCTTATAGGGGGATCTACTGTATTATAAAAGTGAAGATTAGACAGAAGTCTGGGTAGTCTAACTGGCAATGCAAGTGCATAAGCAGGAGTTTGTGGGTTTGAGTCCTACTCGAGGCCAATTCTTTTCTTCCAGAACCTTCTAAATTGATTAATAAATATTAATTTAATTATAATTATGATATTTAATAAGAGATGGTAACTAATTTCTATCTCTAGGCAAATTACTTAGCATTTAATTATTATTAGTAGCAATAACATACCCTGATCTAATCTTGTAATCATTTGGCTTTAATGTAACTATTAGGCTTACAGATGTTTATTTCAGTTTATATTTTATCATTTCATCCAAAATGATGAAACTGATTGCCTCAAAAAGAATATATCACACAAAGGGATTAAGTCCAGCAGGGGTGTAGGATATGTCCAATTGTGTGAACAAGGTTTATGAGAAATTAAAGCACTCCTGGAAAAACTTGTAGTAGAAAAACTAATATTACAGCATTAGCCACAAAAACAGGGCAGAAAGAGTAAAGAAAAAGAAAAATGTATAATACTTTGAAAATCAAAATTAGTGACTGTTAAACAAAGTAGTGTTATTACAATAAAATGTAGTAGTGTCTTGGCTAAGCCTGTAGAATTAATTGGGAAAATTTACCAAAACACAGAGAGATTAAAAGTAAAATTCAAATGTTTACTTTGTTTTTGATTAGTTCAGTCACTCATTACATTGCTGTCTACTTACATGGTTATGTGGTTGCAGTAAAGATGAGCTGATCTCACTTACCAAATCACTATTTAAAAACAAAAACTAAGCTTTAAAAGAACAAAAAAGAAGTAAAAGAACTTCTATTTCAAAACTCTTCTTGAAACTATTTAATACGTAAATTTTGTGTCAGTTTAAATTAAAATGAAATATTCACATGTTCCCTGCATGGTTAATAAACTACATTTAACCCATTTAGTTCTTTGCCCAAGTTAACTCGGGCAGGTTACATAGCCTTACATAAAACTCGGTCCTTTCGGCCCCCCAAAAAAATTTTTGTTTTTTTTGAACTTTTGGAATGTTTTTTAAGTCTCCAAATTTTTTCAAAAATTTTTACCCACGCAAAAAAATTTTATTGCGATTTTAATTACCCTTTGATAAGGCTCGATTAAGGCTTAATTGTTTTTTAATGGGATATTTTTATCAAAATTAATTAATCGTTCTAAAGTTGTAGTGCACGAATTTTCCTTCAGTAAAGTTATTTAAAGCTAGTTTCTGATGTCAAAAACCACCTCCAATAGTTTTTTAATTTTTTTAATTAATAGATTTTATTATATATACATTTAATTAAGTCGGGGGGGTCGGAAATCACAATTAAAATTTGAATTTTTAAAAAATATTTTAAAACATACGGCCAGCTAGTATCCACCCTACTACAAACCCTTCGCCTCCCGAGACTTCTATGAGAATGTCCCGGGAAATCGGACTCCAGCTGTGTAAACAATGACTCATCAGTGTCAAATTGTCAAATTTTGCAGAAAGGCGAGACAAAGGAAAATAAAGTTTGAAGCTTTTTCTTCAAAATTAACACATTTCTTTCGTTTTTTTTCAGTTTTAAGTATTTTTTATGTTAATTACATTAATATCAAAAATTGCTGGGAACTAAAGGGGTTAATAGAATATCAATTATTATTCAACTTTTACTACATATTGTTTATTAGAGTAATTATTTGTTGAATTTATATTATTAAAATGAAAGTAAAATAGTTATTTCTAATCTAATAAGTACAACTACACACGATATTCTAATCTTCTATAACTATTGTTGTATATTAATTAAATTGTAAAAAATACACAGAACAAATACTTTGTACAGTTAACTAGTAATACTATTTAGATTATTTGTAACTTTGATTTGCCTAATTATAATTTGTGAATTAACCAGTCCTGATTCTGAATTAATAAATAAATTGAAATTTTTAAAACAATAATTTAATAGTATAAATAGTTACCTCTATTAAATATTTCGTTAGAATGAGATGATGCTGTAGTAGAGGTATTGGAAGACTGCAATGGAGAAGTTAATTCTTCATTACCACCGAAAGTGTCGATAACATCTGTTCCAACACTAAGTGTGTCATAAACTGGATTATCAACATTTTTATCTTGGAGTTCTTTTTGAATTTCATCATCATCTTTATAAGATGGAGAATTAGATTCTGTGGGTGATATTAATGTATCTCTCTGAGAGAGCGATTCTAACGTTGCTATCGGAATGAATGGCGATGATGTTCTTGGACTAAGAGAAGGTGACCGAAATGCCAATGAGGTAGTATTATCTAATGGAAGACCCGTGCCATCAGTGGCTGTGATGCATTCGGAATCTTCCATTATGTAACTATCAGGAAGCACGAGACTGGGATCAATTTCTGCATATAGTGGTTCATCTGGAGATAATTCTTGCCCTTGCTGAAATAAAAAAGATTTCCAAATTTATAAATATCTAAACTGAAATAAATTATATAGTATAATATTCAACCAAAAATTTAGAATAATAAAACAAAACTATATTTTCCTAAATATCATTTTCATAATTATAACTATATTTACTTTTTCTTATAATAAATAAAAACTTTTTAAATCTGTAAGTTAATTAAATATTAAGACAGTAAATTTTAACAGAGTTGGAAAAAATACTTTAATGGAGCATAAAAACTTAAAAAAAGTTGAAGTACAAATATTGTGTGCAAAAGAACAAACTATTTCTGTCATCATGGAAGTAATGATGTTGACAGCATATTGAAAAAAAGTTTCAAAATTATAGAAATTAGTCATTTTACTTTTAATTTCTATAATTTTGAGACTTAACATTGCAGAACATTGAAGAAAAGTATTGTTATCATTTCCATGACAATGGGACTAGTTAGTTCTTTTGTGTTCCTGATGATGAGCCTTAAGCTTAAAAGTACTTTTAATTCTTTTGAATTTTCATGCTCCATCAAAGCATTTTTTATTTTGTTAATATATTTTATGAAGTTAAATTTATGTATTCTGTATAGTAAATTTTATTTATATCAACAACATTGACTTTAAATTAAATAACCATTAAAAAAATTCAGGAATGAGTTGCTTAACTTTCCTAGCAACATTTAAAATTTTGATGGTGCCATCTGTTATCATATTTTATTAAACTTTTTATATTTTTAATTATAATAAAATGGCAAAAAGCTTAATTTTGAGGGTAGGGATGGGTTTTATAAAAAATTGTAAATGCTAATAATGAGTAAAATTGTCATTAAGTCTGACTCTAATCAAGATATAACACATGACTCCCTTTATCTTCCCAACCCCTAGACCTTTAACCACCAAAGTTTAATAGCATCAATCTCCCTAATAAAACCTCCCTGCAAAATTTCAGAAATTTTCAATAAGAAGCACAGGAGTTATTAAGCTTCAAAGAGAGTGAACAAAATCATGCCCCCCACACACAAACATCAATACAGAGAAGAAAAAACCCCCAAACATTTTGCATTTTTCAATATTTCAAGGTAATCTGATTCAAATAATGTAAAAATCTTGGGGAAGTCATTTTTTGACTGATCTCCACGCTTTTACTCTGCTATATATAACAGAGCCAGGAAAGTAATAATTAAATTTTATTTAAATTTCCTAGAGATATTAAACATATGCAGTATATAACACATTCAATTTATAAAATAATGATTCTAGATGGATTTCATGTTTTTGTTTTAATGTAATATAGTATCTACAATAATGTTAATACAAAACAATAAATATCATTTACAAAAATTTTAAATTGTATGTGTATGTTTAATTTGTTTTTTATTAATACTAAAACTTTAGATAGGGTCTTCGTTTTGTGCTACCAGGGCCCAGGATTGTTTTAATCTACCTCTGCTAATATAAATAGATAGTTATCAACTAATCATACACACCTGCATGCACATACTGTAGCTGAAACAATAAATAACATTATATAAATGGCATCTAAAGTTAGTATAAACTAGATGTGTGTGCCAAGCATTGCTCAGGTGTTTGAGGGAGTGGGGGGATTGGAGAGGATGATAAAAGCAATAGTCTTAGTAACTAAACTGTACATTTATTGACCTGAGTATTTACAGTAATAAAACTGCAAGAAACAAAAAAATTGTTCAAGCCTAAGTTAAGAGGAGTGCAGACCACCACAGAAAACTTATACCAGTGTATTTATGACTAAGTAACCATGAACAAAACATGAAATGCTTTGAAAAATCCACAATGTAGTGCCATATTGAACAGTGATATCACTTTTTCCAACTTCTTGCATTCCAACTAATTACTTTTAATGTTATTTCTCCACACACAATACCATATTTCAATATTACAACCTTCTTATAAATAATTCCTTGACAGGCAACTGCTGATTCATATGTGTTGCCATCTAATGAACAGAAAGCTGTTATAGTTTGATTTATATAATGTAGATTTTGAAATCATGTGCATGTATAAATCTCCCACATCAACAGATTCAAAATACAAAGTTTGGTTAAAATACATTCAGGTGTTTTTCTGTGATGTGGCAACAAACATCCAAACTGGCAAAACATTCAGCAAACCTAATTGTTAAAGTCTTATTTTTTTAGATTATAATAAAAAATTTACATGAATAAAATTGAAATATGTAATATTTATGAACAAAATAGATTCATATTGCTGCTGATAAAAACACTGATTTTGGGAATTATATATTCAAATGTATGCAAATACCTAATTATCTTAAGAGTTTAAATTGATAATAGATTAGATTGATAGGAATGCATAATACAGTACATTATAGTGTAAGTTTCCATGATATTAATATTAATAAAAACTTTTGAAACTGTTCTCAAATTTAATACTATTGCATTACATTTACTAAAAGAAAATTGAAGTTTATAAATATAAATAATTTTTTAAAGATAATTTTAAAAAATTATCTTTAAAAAGTTTATTTTCAATGATTACAATAAATCTATTATATATAAACAATAAATCCAAAAACCAATATTTAATTACTGCCTATAAATTATCAACCAAATCACACAGATATTAAATCAGAAGTCTAAATAAATTTCACATTCTGAAAAGTTTTATGAACAAAAGATAAGCAATCAATAATTATTAATTTATAGAAATAATATTTAAAAAAAATTATTTAAATGTTTTAGTTGTAAATTTCAATTAAAAAAAAAATGTTAAAAGACAATCAGTTTAAGAAGAAATCGTTAGTAAAGAATAAAAAATTTAGCTTATTCTATTTCTATTGTTCTTAGGTACCTTTTAGCCAAATGGCTTTTTCAGTTCATCTTTTAGTTTAATAGCTTTCCAGTTCATCCTTCACTTATATAAATTGTATTTTGTAGATTTTTCTTAACAAATACTGAATAAAATTGAATTGTTTTGATTTGATATTTGCTTATAACAAAATAAAAACAATTGCATCACTTACTGCATGATCATACATCAAATTAGAAGTGAAAATGATTTTATCCATTAAGAGTATTTTTTTATTAAGTTGCTTACATTTGAAGAAAACCAAGTACTTGAAGTAAGTGGTAAGTGTTTTAAAAACTTAAAACTTTCTGAAAGAATAAATATCTGAGAATTTTCATTGGTTCCAATTAGTTATAGATCCTGGAAGTTTTCTGTAGATGTAGCAAATATTTATTTTTCAGAAGCTTGTTTAATTAAGCTGCAAGCCAAATGAAAAATCAACTTATCAGGTGAAACAGAAGAAAAAATAATTACTATTTCATAAATTAATATTAGTGTTGTTTATAGAAAAATTCCATAAATTTTATTATTATAAAAATGTTTTTGGCTTTCTTAAAGTTGTCATCATTATGTATTCTAGTATGCAAATTTTAAAATATTCCATTGAAAAAAGATTATATATATGAAGGGTGTATGTACGTCGTTGATGTCTAAGATCATACTGAGTTTAATAATGTTAGAAGATAAGATGATAATAATGCTATGCAAAATAAAAATAAAATTTTTCATTTGAATTTTGTGAATCTTTTAATGAATTTTAAAAGCTACTAAATCAATGGCTTGTGATTTCATCTCTGATTTTCATTTTAAAAGATAAATTGAATTGCTAAATTATGTGTAACAATAGAAATATAAGATTGGTTGCAATATAGAACAAACAGTTTTGTCTTGATTCATGCCATTCTAAGCATATAGATTAAAAAATTATAATCATTTCATAAATACTGAAACAATTGTAAATGCTTATTATTATATACAATCAGAATCATCATACATTTTAGTTATCTAATGATAACTAAAATGTATGATGAAAAATGTAAGGTAAATAATACATAAATAATACAAAAATGTAAGGTAAATAATAAAATGTAAGGTAAATAATACATTTTAGTTATCTAATGATAACTAAAATGTATTATTTACCTTAAGATAAACAGGTATTTTAAGCTGTCTTTTGTTTTATCAACCTCAATATATAGCTGATATAACTGACAGTAATTGAGAAGTTACTGCTATAAATACGGGCTTTATAAGCAAATGTTTGTTTTCATTAAAATTATCTTACTTTTTGCTGATTTTTTATGTTTGTGAGGTTATTTATATGTTGGCAATTTTATGTTAATCAGTGCTTAAAACATTTGCTTGCAGTACAACTTAAATAGATGGTATCTTATGTCAATTATGTGCTGATAAAGACAATACTACAAAAAATAAATAAATAATTCAATAAAAATAAAAAAAACAGTAAGCAAACAACACTGAATGAATTACTATTAATTAATAATAGTTATAATTTTTTAATTGTTTTAGAATGTCTTTTTAATGTCAGTCAATACAATTAGTGAAAATTTTGATTTTATTCTTATTTACTTACTCTCACTTAATGCTATCAGTCAATATAGGCTAGTTCCAAAGTGATTATGATAAGTAGATTCTACTATATTAATCTCTCCATCACATATATAAATACAAGCATACATACATATTTAATGTGGGGAATGTGCTCCAATGAGGAACGTCTTAAACAAATGTATGTTTTTCCCTTCATTAAATGAAAGGAAATATATACAGTCAAACCTCAGGTTTGAACTTAATTCATTCCTAAAAGTTGTTCTAAAACCAAACTTTCCCATAAGAAATAATGTAAAATGGATTAATCTATTCCCAACCCCTAAAACAAAACCTCTTTTTAGCTGTATTTCATGCATAAAAATGCCTATAAAGGCAAAATATTATTATTTTATCTATCTATATATAATATATAGTAGATTATATACCTATCTATCTTATATATTAAAAGCAAAATATTTAGTCACCACCAACCCAAATCCAACAGAAGCAAACACTTTACAAAGTGCTATAGAGACTCAACTGTGACTGCCTGCATGAAATATAAACAAAATCAATAAAGACTGACAACAAATACTTTATCCACACTTTCCAAAATATTGTGTTTGAACTGATTTCATTTCAATTTTATTTAAATTTTAGTTTTAGTTTCAGTGTAAGGAGCCAGTTTTAATTATTATTTTTAGTTTAACTGGCTACCTAGTATTAATAAATATTAAATATTATATTAATTTTTGTCATTTAATTTAACTTAAGCATATTTAAACACAAATCCTTGAATGCCATTTATATTATGTCAGTGTCAATTAATGTGGTTTTTATTAAATAATTTGATTTAAATTCAACTGTGGGTGTAATGAAAAACAAAAATAGTATCTTTCCTACATGAGCATTGAAATATAAGTTACACAGCAACATCACTGATGATTCGTATTGTGCAGCAAGGCATTCTCTGTGCCACTAATTTCTGAACTGGAAGTTCTGTTATTGATTGGCCAGACTGTCAACTTTCTTTAACATAGGAAGTGTAGGTAGTTGACCATCATTGGTTAGCTGAATAGCTGCTTGGTAACTGAGTTATTGTATGGCAACTGGGACGAATATGGCATTCAAAATTTTGTTTGTAAACCAAGTGGTTTAAAAGCAAGGCTTTTGAAACCTGAGGTTTGACTGTACTCTATTTTCATGTTATATACTTGTTATTTTTAAAATATCTTGTTAACATTTACAGTATTTATTATACTAAATAATAATATCCTTATTCAAAAAATAATACAAAATTTTATGAATTGTATTAAAAATATTTAACAATTCTCAGGAACATGTTATTGCAATTAATTTTTTACAATAAAAGAATACAAAGTATTCTACTCTGTTGTTTCTACTCAAACCATAGTTTGCTTATAGGAGGAGTTCATTAAACCATCCAACCTCTTCTCACAGCATCAATGAAATCAATGTGATGTTCTAAAATATTCATACATTTAGAACAAGAAGATTTTAAAGCTTAAATACTCTTTCTGGTTTATTGTCTTCTTTTTGAAAAAAAATACATTGAATTCAAATCTTGCAGTCCTTCCTTAGAGAGGAACTTATCATGAGATTTATAATTTATAACTCTGTCATGTTTGGTAGTTGTATCTTCTGGCTCTGGCATCTACAACTTGTGGTAACATATTCAGAATTAAATCAATAAGTAAAAATTCTTAAATAAATAAAATAGCATAAATTCAATTAATTTTAAGCATTTATACTTTTGTTTTTATTCATTTTTCATCAGTTGCATTTTTTAAAATGAAAATTATAGAAAATAATACCCAAACACCAAAAAAAATCAGTTAGAAAATACTAAATTTTTATTATTACTAACATTTTCTTTCATCTAAAATGACCATCATCAGGTAATGAAAAATGAAAACCATACAGAAGACTTTCAAATTAATTGAATACAATTAAAATTTAAATATTGTCATGCACAGTTGCATCATTTTTTTTTATGAAACTAAATGTTTAATTAACAATGAAATATTACTCCCTATTAGCTAGTTGTGGTGTATAAAATACTGTTCTGTCATAATTAAATGTGGATCAGGTAAGAGGTCTGAAAGAAGCTCAATATATGCTCTCTATGCTGTAGAAGAGAGTGCTGTATGCACTGTTTGTCAATTCAGGACTGAGGAGTGGCAATGCATCACTTTGATAGCAATGTGGTTTTTCTATGACCCTAGTAAAGTCTTTGACATGATAACACAAGTGTCTTAAGAATGCACCTAGTCGACCTGAAAATAAATTTGCAGTGATGACATATAACGAGACCATTAATGAAGTGTATTTAGAAATTGCAAAAAAGAACAATATCAGGATAAGAGGCTACTGACTATTTTTTCTTTAATTTAAAATGATAAAGAACCTGTAGAGGATGTTTTCTGGCTGGGTATTAATTTTATCCCACTGAATGGACAACTACTCGGATTACATAGGCATTACTGCTAGGGCCAGGTGGTGAGAATAAAAGAACACAAATATAACATCAGAAAGAAGATGACTAATATATGGCACTAGTGTACATAGTAGAAGAAGACATCCAGGTTAACTTTGATGAAGTAAAATTGTAAGGAGTCAATGTCCAATTGTTATTTTATGTTTTTGGGCGTTATTTTTAGTTAGTTATTTTCTTTTCGGGGATCTTTTTAAGGACAAACTCCTAAACACTCATGTGAAAAATTCCAAAAGCAAAGATACAACTTTGCATCTGTGGCTGTCCTGTAGCACAAACCAATGTAAATTAAGGCAGTGCAGAGATGCACTGAGCTTTGAATAAAAGACGAATCATCCACTACTGTGGGTGGTGGAATTCCTATCGATGACTGTTGGCGACATGTCAAGGAAAAGTGATTGAGTATAAGCAATGTATACCGTGGTTGAGTATTTCTTTTGGGGTGGAGATTGGATCTTAGATTGTACTATTATAAGAAATAAGACTTTCATTTGTCTAATTGTTTATTTCTTGTCTTTTTTGTTACTTGACTATTTGACATTTCTGAAAATTACACTAACTGGTTATGATTTAATCATTTGTTATTATTGTTCAATCTAATAAATATTTATTGTGGATTTTTACTAAAGTGTTTTGAATATATATATGTATGTATATCTTTTGGTTCCCATAAAGTCCAGGCCTGGTACTTTTAATTAAATATGAACCCTAACTTGTGTGACCCTGCTTTTTGCATCACACAGTGTGTTACAAAACTTCTACATCACACTTTAGAGCTGGAAAAAAAATATTTGGAGGGCTTGGAAATATACAGGGTGATTAGGAGGGGAGTGCCAGCAACTATAAAGAAAATGACTCTTTCTCCATATGGATCAGGTGAGAGGTCTTAAGACCATAATAAAATATGGTGAGAGGTCTTAAGACCATAATAAAATATGGATCAGGTGAGAGGTCTTAAGACCTCTCACCTGATCCATATTTTATTATGACAAAAGAGTATTTTATACACCTCAACTACCAAACAGGATAGTAATATTTCATTGTTAATTAAACATTTAGTTTCATAAATAATATGATGCAACAACACATGGCAATATTTAAATTTTGACTGTATTTGATTAATTTGAAAGTGTTCTGTATGGTCTTCATTCTTCATTACCTGACAATGTTCATTTTAGATGAATGAAAATATTAGTAATAGTAAAGGTTTAGTATTTCATAGCTGGTTTTTTGGTGTTAGAGTGTTATTTTCTGTCAACTATGACCAGTTTTTATTGACATGAATGATTAAAATTAACTTATATTTCATTTATGAAAAAAAAAAAGTTTATTTCTTTCCTGGTTGGGAAACATACAAGGGCTGTTTTTTTTTTCAAGCTCCGATGGTCCATAAAAAAAGACAAGTGTAAATAACAAAATGAATTTATTACCAAAAGTTAGGTACAAACATGGTTACTTTTCGACATAATCGCCGTGAAGATTGAGGCATTTGTCATATCTGTGGATGAGCTTTTCCATCCCCTTGTCATAGAATGTTGCCACCAGTGAATTGAGATGGCCTTAACAATGTTGTTTTGAAGATCGTCATTAGTTCATTACTCTCAAACTTCTGCTCTGCTAGCCATGTTTTCAGTTCAGGAAAGAGGTGGAAGTCTTCACACATTAAAAAGTTTTAAGCTGGATGGAAATCTGAAAGGTGGAAGTTTTCACCACCTTCAAACACCCAGCATATCACTCTGATTTAGTGCTGAGCGACTTCTGCCTCTTTCTGGAACAGGAAAAGTGGTTAGGAGGGCAGAGGTTCAAGTCTAATAACAATCTTCAAAAAAACATTAGGGCCCATCTCAAGTCATTGGCAGCAACATTCTATGACAAGGGGATGGAAAAGCTCATCCCCAGATATGACAAATGCCTCAATCTTCATGGTGATTATGTTGAAAAGTAACCATGTTTGTACCTAACTTTTGGTAATAAATTCATTTTGTTATTTACACTTGTCTTTTTTTTTTTATGGACCATCGGAGCTTGAAAAAAAAGTAGCTTATGTGGAATGAAAGCTTAGTCATCATTTTCATTTATGTGGCTAGCTAAAGCAGTAAAGTTTTCTGAAATGAAAAATTATTGAATTTTGTTAGAGCAAGTAAGTGTCTATCAGCATTTGCTCACTGATTGTCAACTATCATTAACTGTTTTATAATAAATTTGCATTAAACAACATTATGTTAAATGAGGGATATCTATACATAAATGAGTCATTCAAATATGCTTGAAATGGCATAAATCAAGACAAAAATAGTTTATATCATAATCAATCTTTTGTTTTTACTAGTAAATGTTATGATTGGTTTATATAAAACAGAATTTTCATATACAAACAATCATAAATTTCACATAATTTACAATAATTAAAACTATTTATTTTAATAATTTAACTTTTATTTATTGATTTTAACAAAATAATCTTATTTACTTACCTCAGATAATTCTGTAAATATTGGAGAACTGGTATTATTTGATGAGGCACAAGAATTCATAGCATCACTATCATTTCCTTCTTGATTATGAAATTTCTTTCTTGGTCTTGGCACAGGTTTAACATTGCTAATAGGCGATACACTACCATTCTGCGTTAAAACGGTACTGTCAATAGTAAGTGGTGAAGTAGGCAGTGAATCTGTATTAATGCTGTTACAATCAGGTGAAGATGATAATTGGGATTGCCTTGGACATGGTTGTGGTTTAGGTTTGATCAGATGGGAAACAACAGATGGGGAGGAGGCACTTCTGATAAATGGAGGTGACATATGATGATCACATTTTTGTAGTTTGCTTCTACAGCCCTCATCTTCTTCAGGAATTGATCCTGTTGTCGAAGAATCACCAAGGCTAACAGAACGTCCAGTTGTAGTCAAAACATCACGATTTGCATAGACGGGTCCATGATCATGACTCAATTTTCTAGTAAGTGATAACCTAGGTGCAGGAATTGGAACAGACCTTGACACTTTGTTTACTTCATCACCTCCAGATCTGATATTGTGTTCTTGGGGAATACCATTGCATTCATTATGAACTGATTTGTTTATTTCACCATCATTTAATATTCGCTTTGCTGAATTATCTAAACTTTTCCTTTTATTTTTTTTATCTCCTTCAGAATTTGAATCACCATAAAGAAACAGCGAGAAAAATGCAGGAAGAAGGTCAAAACTAGATGCTTTTTGTATTCGTCCTTTTTTCATGTCTTGAGATGCTGCATCATCTTTGGTTACAGAAGATACTGAACTTTTTCTGGTATTTGGTGGTGTAGGATATAAAGCATAGGAAGAAGTGGGAGGACTACCTACAACACTGACTGTTTGTTCATTATTACCTTCTAAACTTTCATTACTAATCGAGGAAGTTACGGAAGATGACTGACTATTTTGCGACACCATTTGAGGTGCAACACTTGCTACTAATTTTGTAAATAAACCACCACGTTGATTTAAACCACTTAATAATTTGCTTGATTTAAATGCTGAAGAATTTTTTTCTCCACTGACTATTGCTGGACTTTGACAACCACTACTACTCTTTGATTTTTCTAAGGAAACTGGTCCTTGATTGTTTGACACTTTTACACTTCTGTTTTCAGTCATTGAAGGACTATCACGCTGATTTCGTGAATTCCTATTTTGGGAAGAATTTTCTGATGTACGATTGATAAGGCATGGACCATTAAGGGCACACCATAATCCATCACTAAACAGTGTATAATGGCTCACCAACTGTAATTAAAAGTTATTTAATTACTTAAAAATGTTTATCAAAAACAATATCATCATCATTAAAAACTAAAAAGGAAATAGCCTAAAAGTCATAAAATATTAAATCATTTAATGAATAATGTACAAATATACAACAAGATTTAAATACTCAAGAAATAATTCACAATATTTTGATCTTGGTTTGTACACTAATGAAAAATAAGATAACAAAGTAAACAGAAAATTTTTAATTTTAGATATTACAAATATAAAATTCAATAACAAATAATTAGTTTCTAAAAATATACTATAATCATATAATTATGACTATATACAGTCAAACTTTGTTAATTAAAAGTTCAAGGGGAGTACAAAATAATTTGAATTATCCAAAATTCAAATTAAACAATTTAATTGATAATTAAGTAATACTGATAAAATATAATTAGTTTGGTTGCCACATTTTCTTGTTAATTCATACTGAGAAAATTGCTGGTGAGAAAACAGAGTGAATAACACATCAACATATGTCATTTTCAGCAAATTTTACCATTTTGCAAATAGCTTAGAAGTTCAGAATTGTCAAACTATTTAGCTAGCAAAAAAATTTCATCACTTATCACAGTGCCATTTGTTGTCAGGTGTTTCTAATGGTTTTTAAGACTGTTACAAAATCATCACACAACAGAGTATACCTCAAAATTAGTGTGATANAAATCATGATGTAAAAGAACTACACTCATGTTTTCAAGAATCCTATAGAAATATGAATGATGAGATAAAGATAAAAATTAAAACAATATAAAAAAAACATGACATGGTGTGTTCCTCAAGAGAACTCTCAGCCTTAGCCAATAATTATGTATTAGACCATCAGGTGTTTCTAATGGTTTTTAAGACTGTTACAAAATCATCACACAACAGTGTATTACTTAAAATTAGTGTGATATTCTTGGAATTCACACTTTTTAAACATTTTTCTCACTCTTTTTAACACATCTTTCATTTTTTGTAACAAATATGCAACAGAGATTAAAATGTCATTATGCCATTTCTGTCTCGCTTGCTTGGAAATGATTGGTTGCTCGAAATTTGTAATCACTTTTTGCAGTCCAGACCAGTTTTGCATTTGTTTTTCACTTTCATTTTTTGCTATTTGCTCAGTGTGAGCTAAGCTACTTCAGCTTCGAATTTTCAAACTCTAACAATTTTTGAAACATGAGGATATTCAAACTTCGAATTATCCAAAAATTAAAAAAAAAAAAAATTCAAATTAAACAAGTAATTTTTGCATTACATTTATTAGGAAACTCTAGGAAAATTTGTAGAATTTGAATTATCCAAATATTCAAATTAATGAAGTTTGACTGTATTAATATTTCATAACTGAAATTTAAAAAAAAATTTTCAAATATGTTACAAAAATATGCACTTTGATTTAGAGTTACCAGTTTTTTTTATTGGAATTTATATTTGTATGTTGTTATTAAAATTATTTATATATAAATATACCTTTGATTCAATTAAATTTTCATTAAATTAAAAATATTTTTGATTGCATAAAACATCAATCAAATGTTTTATGCAACAATTTAGCCAGTTAGCTAACATGTAGAATTAAAGTATAATTATATTTTTGATTATTTCAACAGCTTTCTTTGCTTTTAAGAATTTAGAGAAAAAGAAGAAATGGATTATTTGATGATATAAGCAATTATTTAACAAACTTCTAAAAATATTTAATCTGAAATAAATCTTGGATTCCTTCAATGATTCTAGCATTAAACTATTTTTCTTACTTCTTATGGAGTTATACAAAGTAGTTTTTTCCCCCGCTTAAATTTGATAAATTTGATTCAGCAAATTAAAATAACAAAACAGTTTGATTAATAAAATTTTTATTGAATAAATGGATGTCTTTATTATGTTCTAAAGTTATGTTGCATTAAAAACATTTATGTAGTGTTTATGTTACTTTTATTTTATTTATTTATTTTTTGTACACAGAAGGAAATGTCAGACAACAATTAATCTCCACCTCTCCATTAACAATTAAAATGAAAACCTCAATAAAATACATTATATAATGGCTAAAACATATAATAAATATATTTTAGCCATTGTGATGTATACAGCCACAAGTAAACTGTAATATAAATGTAAATACACTTAAAAATCATCTGATTATACACACAAATAAGTAATAACAGATAAATAAGATTTACTACATTAAACATTATATAAAATGCTACGACAAGAACTTTTAAAACACGTAAAATCATGATGTAAAAGAACTACACTCATGTTTTCAAGAATCCTATAGAAATATGAATGATGAGATAAAGATAAAAATTAAAACAATATAAAAAAAACATGACATGGTGTGTTCCTCAAGAGAACTCTCAGCCTTAGCCAATAATTATGTATTAGACCATTAAAAAATTTATAACAGAATACAATCAAAGTATTTATTTATTTCCGTTTGCATTGATAGACCAAGCCTAATTCTATTTACATTTGGATTATTGATATAGGGCAAATGACTGAGTCTATTTAGCAGCAGATAGATTTTATTAATTTCCTTGATAACTTTATTGAAAAGGAAGGCACAATCATCAACCAAATAGGCAATCCATAGTCTATTACAGATTGGATGTTTGTACAGAAAATAGATCTCAAGATGATTTTGGATGAAATAGGTTTACAAAACTGACATAGAATTCCACAATGGATTGCCAATGATTTAACTACCTTATCTACATAACTTTTGAAAGTCATCCTGCTATCAAAAACAATACCTAGATTGTTATAAGACTCAACATACCTTAGGATGTGTATTAATGGTAAAAGAAGATAGATGCAGACTATGAATCAGTGAATAATTCATGACAACTGCATTTTGAGAATTAATTCTTAAATTGACTCTGGAGAATTCCAAAAAAGAATGTTAATTTATCCGAATTACAATCTGACCTTATGATTTACAAGTTTGATGTTGTCAGCATATACAATAACATTAGAATTGATGTTATTAAAGAGGCCATTGATATAAGCTGAGAAAAATAGCTCACTTAAAATCGAACCTTGTGGTATTTTGCAAATTGGTGAAAAATCAAGAAACCTGAAATCTCCCAAAACAATCTTGCATGTCCAAAACAAAAAGTAATTATTTATCCAAGTATGCAAGACAGAATTGATACCAAATTGTTCTCAAAGTAAACAGAATAAAATGTTAGTGAGCGCAGAGTCAAATGCCTGTAAAATATCAAGATAAACAACATAAGTGACTTTTTTGTCTTCAAAGTTGCTTAAAATAGTATATAAAGTTTCAAGTAGATTAGTACTTGTGGAATAGTGTTGTATCCCACAGTAATGTGTTAATGACAATTTGGGTGCTATCGTGTTATGTATTATTTGATAAATGTAGTTCTCTAGAATTTTTAACATTGCAAGTAGGTGAGAAATTGGTCTATAAGAGAGTTTGTTTTTCTTAGTTATGACCTTTATGATAGATGACCACTACTGATTAGGCACATGACCTCTTTGAAGTAACCTGGAAAAAAGTTTGGATAAAATGACAGCAGAAGTAGGCCTAAGTTTCAACTAAAATATTGTAGGAATGTGATCTGGGTTATATTTGGATATGTTTAGCTTACTAATAGCTGTCATTATATCTGAAAAGGATATACTATAATTATAGGTAAACTCATGGAAAGAAAGAATCAAATTCAGCATCTGGTAATATCTGGAAATATCTAGCTTTGTTTGATGTTTTTATATACCTTATAAACCATATCACTGGGGATAGATTTAGATTTGGTAGTGGTTTTTTGGGAGATTCTAAATTCTTCATTCCATGCATCTTTTAGGGATAAATCCCCAAAAGGTGCTGGAATGAAGGAGAAAATGACACTACCCTATTAAAATAATTTTGGAAAGTATTCTGACATTCCTTACAACACTACTTTTGGAGATTTCTATGAATGTATAAATTGCAAGGGTTACCTCTATGTTTTAAAAATATTTAGTGTAAAGTAGGGATGTCCAACCCATGGCCCACGGGCTGCATACGGCCCAATAAACATGTAAACAAAACTGACAAATTTTTTAATTTTATTTTTATTCATTCATTTCAACTGCATAAACTCAAAAAGAAGTTTCACAAAGCTGTAAACCTTTATACAAATTTTATTTTTGAGTGAAAAGGAAATGTTTTCAAATACTTGAAAAGTGTGAATGAGAAAGAAATACTAAATAAAGCTGGAGTTGTGACTCAAATATTATAGTCCGAAATTCAGGGAAAGGAAAGAAAGGCCAAAAAATAAAAAGTAGTGAGAAAGGTTAAATAGATCTTCTGTTATGCAAATATTGACCCTTAATTTTCCAATCTTCCTCACTTCTTTATCTTTTGTCCTTGCATTTAGGTCTATAATCCTTTGAGTTTCAACTCCAGCTTTATTTAGTATTCCTTCCAGTGTTGCAAGATTTGGCTACTTTGTGCCAAATTTGGCTATCCATTTTTTTAGTTTGGCATAAAAAATATCATTTAGTGCACTGGCTACTTTTTGGGCTACATATTATTTATAAATATATTACTCAAATAAACATGCACTTTAAAATGGTGTTTCGTCATTTTTTATTAATTAGAGACCCAAATAAAACAAATGTTTGTGTCTTTAAAACAAATTTTTGTTTATCTCGTTTATAATAAATGAATTTATCTACTTCTAAAAATTGAAAGTGTCTTTAGAAGTAATTTTTTAAAATATCCTTTTTTGTGATAAAGTTTTAATAATTATTACTATAATCTAGACATGTTATTCCTTAAATTTACTTGTATATTTAAGGATTGGACACAAGTATATACAAGATACTTGTGGCACAAAACTCCNAAATTGAAAGTGTCTTTAGAAGTAATTTTTTAAAATATCCTTTTTTGTGATAAAGTTTTAATAATTATTACTATAATCTAGACATGTTATTCCTTAAATTTACTTGTATATTTAAGGATTGGACACAAGTATATACAAGATACTTGTGGCACAAAACTCCATGACTTCTTTCAATGTGGCCCAGAAAAAGGTTGGACACACCTGGTGTAAAGCATTTATAGTTATATTATTTAATTGAAATACTTTCTATACTGTTATACTTTTTCTAGAATAAAAACTTACAGCCATAATGCTAGGAAACCTCTGTCCATCTTGAATTGCAAATTCACCAGATGGCAAAACATCAATTTTATAATGTTTAATACGTCCTGAATGACTTAGGCACAAGGCATAACTACTATCATTCCTTTCTCTGACACTAAATAAAATAAAAATAAATTTTTAAAATATATTATTATTCAATTTTATCAAACCAATTGCTGTAATTCTTATTATCCAGTAATTATCTCAACAACAACAATTTTTGTATTAAAATAATAGATTCAGAAGAACATAAAAACATTTTAAATTTTATGTTAAAAACACCTTTTTAAATGAGCATGCTTAATTTTTCTTTAAGATTATATAACGGAGATTATATCTTTTAAATATATAATTTTAATAAAAGCAAAGTTTTTAAGTAAATAATTTTATATAAATTCTGTTTTTTCTGATAATTAAAATTTCTCTTATATTATAAAATTTATATTATTATTTTTTAATTTATATTGCAAAAACTTAAATTAGTTTAACTTTAATGCTAAGCAGATAGCAATATCCAATGTTCATTTTANGCAGAAACATTAAATTTTAGTACAAATAAACACAAAAACTTCAAAATATCCTCTAACAGTAAATATTATAATAATAGAAGGATATTGTCTGCTAAAAGGTGACATGAAAGACTAGGCAGATATTTATGCATTTTTAAACATTTTATTTTTTTAATTTAATTTTTTTTAATAAATTTTGAAGTTTGAATCTTCATTTATAATAGAATTTACTGTTTTTACTTCCAAAGATGAGTTATAAAACTTGAAAGTGATAGATGGATGACCAAGGTGATTCAGATGTCAGCATACTGTTCTGGATAGTCTCAGGAGTAATCTGGGCAAACTCAAAAACTTTTCATGAGCAGATAAGTGAAGTCTCGTTCCTCATCATCTGACCACCTCAATTGAGTGTTTAGCAAACCCATGATGGACATGGGAAAAAAGCCTTCTTAGTGATCATGAGGCAGAAAAGGTAAAATAACAACTGAAAGATACTGAACTTGCAAAGTGCATGTTTATTTATCATAAACGTAAAAAAAAAAAAACACAAATTCTGATTCCAAGTAGAAAACGGAAAATTTTTCTTGTCTATTTCTAAATTATAACGTTCAATAATTCCGTTGGTTAGAATAACAGAAGAATTACATTTATTTGGGAATGCTCCTCCCAATGACCACAAACGCATGCAACGTCCCCACACTCAACTTGCCGAAATATGGGTTACTTTATACCAGCGTTTAAACTGCAAAAAGCACCAAGAGTCGCACAATTAGTATGATCGCTCCTCAACGCATGCGCTGCTAGTCGTGTGGATTTAAGATATTTCGAACGCCCGCAAATTCTGATTATTCATAAAAGTAATATGAAGTTTAAATTTTGACAATAAAAATCAGACAGTCAAACTGTTTTGACTTACTGAAATAACTTTAAATTATGAACTTGAAATTAGCAGTAGATCTTACTGTCTTGTAGATACCATTCTTATTTTCAAGAAATTGACAAAAGAACAATTTCTTATTACATCTATACTTACATCAATTCCCCATTCTCGGGCTTTCTGTAGCATAGCTTTTCTAATTTCTTCTTCTGTAACACCCCAATGAGTGAGAGGTAAAACAGAATCGAGGGATTTGTTGCATGGAATTACTGGCTTACATGCTAAACCTTCAACTCCTTCAACTAATTCAACAGGACCTGGAAATCTTTGTCGTGGTACTCCACATAAACCAACTTCTCCAGTTGAGAGTTTTTTTATGCGATAATGAAGAACACTGAAAAAATATTTTAAAAAATTATTTTAATTTTCTGAAGTCTGTTTTATTTGTATATGCAAATATTTATTTAAAATTTTACATAATTTTGTTTGTATAGCATTCTTAACATATTTTTTATGTAAATTGAGTGTTTAATATATTTTATGAATATTTAATAAGTTCAAAAAATTAATACAATAATTTTTACATATTTTAATAAACAAATATTAATGCAGAACCTCAATAAATTGAGGCATAGATAATCATGGTTCTACTGTATTACCAAATAATTTTGGAAAATTCCATACCATAATTAGACTAATGATATTAATTTAACAATTCATAAATTTGTGAACTGTAAAACAGACATTTCATTATCTGTTAGAGACTTTAATAATTAATAAATTTATAATAATTTTAATTTAATTTTGATAAATCATATTTCCCTGACTCTAAAAACAAAAATCTCAAACTAAATTTTAAGATTTGTTTATGAAAAGAAAAATTTTTATAATAATAAATTTTATTAGGTTTTTTTAAACATCATCAAATTAGAATAATAATAAGAAATAGGTGTTTACCACTATTTTCATGCTCTTCTGCATGCACATTTACTAACTACTTGTCTTAATAAAGATCCATAATAATGTCATCTTGAAAACACATTTAAAATGCTAAAAAGGAGTTTAAATTAATTGCTCATTAGTGACAAGGCCCATTTGAACATGTAATCATTTAACAATGTAGTCAATGGATATTTTTATCCATTATTGGTTTATAACATACCACTTGGACTAATCAATGTCTGCCCAGAGAGGGACCTAAACCCACAATGTCAATAGTTTATTTACAGAAAAATAGCTTATAAATTACATAAATTAAATGAAAGTAACAAAATCAGCAGATATCTGTTATTTTTAAACAACAGATAAATTAATAATAATTAATAAATTTTAATAACCAAATAATTAAAATATTTAATTTTAAAAATTAAAAAATGTATTAAAAAATAGAAAAACAATAAAATGTTAAAATTACTTTTATCATAAATATCTCAAATTATCTGTAATAAAAACTACATATATTAATTACACAATACTTGAGCCAAATCAACCATAGAATATATTTTTTCATGTAATGTGAATAAAGTAGTATAAATTTGTAAAAAACCGGTATAAATTTGTATAAAAAAACATAAATCTGAGTAAAAATTGTGTTCAATATAATTGAATTATCATCATTAAAACATAAATGACAAAAATAAATACAAAATAATTTGTACAGATAGATAAATTATGCTGCAACAAGTTAGTAAAATGAAATAAAACTACATCTGGCTCTTTATTATTAAGCAAAATTCTAATATTTAAATAAACTGGTTTAAACTCATTGTTTGTACAGACAGAGGTCAGNCTCATGTATTTAATCATTCCTACAACGTAAATTTCGATTAACGTGGAACGTATCTAAGCGTTATAGGGGGGTCTACTGTAGTCTGTCACAACATGAATGACTAGAGTTCAAAATAAAAGGAATTTTACCAAATTTTCAAATTTGTTCATTATATAGTGTAATAAATCACACGTCTGTACACTGCATTTGCCAAGGATTGTCACTTGTTTGATATAGGAAGAATTTGGGATTACAGAATTTTCTGTAACCAGTTTGGTATTAAAAGCTTGCAACCTAATGTAATGTGTTATATAGTTTCATGCATGTGGCATTTCTACAAGTGTCATCTGTGAATATTGTGTCTTAAGATGTGTTTTCTGTAATTTCTTGTATTTATCACTTGGCAATCAAAAACCCTTCCATCTCTCGAAATGGGCACCCATGAGTTAGCCATTAGTTTTGATGAAGTTCTGTGAAATGATCCTGACTGAGATTGTTGGGATGCCTACCAGGGAGCTTCTGAGTCTACGATTGTCTGATGATGTTTGTGTTTGATGATGTCTGATGATGTGGATTGTGTTATGATTGTGGATTGTGATCCAGATCAGTGTTATGCAAGTTTAATGATGTACTATTTCTGTCTACAAAAGTTACAGCTCTGTGTAGTTGTGATGTTTCTTGTTTTGTACAGAAAAACTCTCTATATTTGTTTGTAGTGCAAGTTTAAAATATCTGTGAGGCCTTCTCTTCCCTCTTTATGAGGAAGAATTAGCCTTTCTATGGACAACTTAGGATATGATGTTATCAGGACAACTTTGTTAATGTTGCTCATGCTTTCCTTTGGAGTGGTTTTATTTCTCCAATGTATAACTCCAAATGAATAAGCCAGTACAGAAAGGGCATATGGGTTGATAGCTTTAAATGTGTATTTTGCATTCAGATTTTCTTAGTACTGAGTCTTTGTTTTATTTGTGTGTGTTTGTATTTCTGTTTATGTTGTTTTACATAATGGTATATTTTATTTGTAATGCATGAATGGGGTATTTTGTAGAGTGTAAAAGGCATGTAATTGGTCTATATTGTGTAGAATCTTTGAGGTCACTTTGGGATTCATATATATGATGTCCTGGTGTAAGAAATACTGCCATCTCTTGTGGATTGTTGATTGTGCATATAAATTTTCGGCTAGATCCCAGTGCAGAGATGTACATTTTTTTGTACCAGAAATTGTAAATGTTATCTGCATCAGATGTCTTCCCTCTATATTATTTGAACTGCATACTGGATGTTGTGTATGCTTATTTTGGCACAGGGCATGAAGTGTCTTAGGCACATTTTCTTCTTACTCTTTGATCCAGCTTTCTTCATTGTTGTGTGACCAGAAAGGACCAAAGAGAAGATCAATAACTTGTGAGCTGTTTTTCTGTTGGTGTGATTGTGCAGTAGGTTTGGTATGTAGGTGTCTGCAGAAAATATCTCAAAGTTAGTGAATAACTTATTTTGTTGTTTTAATAGTAGTCTATACTTATTTTATATCATTTCAATCTATACAACTTAGTTGCTAGTTTTTGTTTCAGAAAGTCAATTATTCCTGTACATGTGTTTTGTGATGTTTGTGCTGTGAATTAATTTTTTGGATGTTTTTCTAACCTCTTTCATTAAGTCTGGTGTTTTGTTTTTAGCGTATTGTGTCATCCTGCCTAATTGTTGTCTAATGTTATTTATTTGTGTTTCTAGCCTTCTTTGCCAGGCAAGTTTATGATTTGTCTGTGCTTTAGTTGTGTCTGTCTGTGACTGTAGTTTAGTGCCATGGTATGCAACTACAGTGACTACAGCAGAATAGACTAATATATGTATATAGGCCTGAAAGTACTGACTTTGGTTTTGTGTGTTTTTGGTCATATGTGTGTATTTAGGTAACAGAGTTGTTGTTATTATTATATAGCATTACAGTATAACTAGTTATGCTCATTGTAGTGCTTTCCTTAATTAGTGACTTAAAGTAGCATTAATTAAAGAAATCATTTAAATTTGTTTTGACTTAGAATACTTACAGAAATTTTCCATCTTTATGTCCACTTTCTTCTATATGCTGTTCTGCAGCCAGTCGTGACAGACGGCCATGGAACCAAGGCTGTATTTCATGTAATGTTTTGGTAATTAATAATTTTATATCACTATAGTTTTCAGTCAAACTAGAGTCCAATTTGTCCTCCTTTAAAAGAATAAACATTTTTACTCTTAATGACTTAATTAGTAAAAGATAACTTTAATTACATTTTATACCTATAAAATTTTATAATTCTAAATTCATTTTCAATTAAGCTATAAATTTAAACAATCTATCATATTATCAGACTATAATAAGGATAACTTAATAATTAGATGTAAAATAATTTGACTAAAAGTAGGCAGTTAGGCGGCCATCTCATGATAATTTTAATAATTATAATAAATTATTTTTAATTTACAATTTCTAGAAGAAAAGAATTGACCCACAACTCTTGCTTACCATGCAAATGCATTGCCAATATGATACTGCAACAATCATCTGGCTTTACTTAAATATAAGTTTTATGAATTTATTGTTTATATAGCTATTAATTTTTCAAAACAATAATTATCACTGAAAATTACAAATATTAATTATTACAGGTATCCCAAAGTTCTTTTGGGATCAAATAACGATCCTTAGACAAACATAAATTCATAAATATGAATAAATATGAATTAATAGATCTGAATCTAATAATGATCTTCTCAATTATTCTGATGTAATTTTTGGACAATGAATAGTTACAAACTTTTAACCATAATGACTGAACTTTGTAATTGAAATTTTTTTTACAAACATTTATTTTTCATGGTCAACTTTGTGTAATTCCTTGAAAAGCAGCAAGGAATTGCTGGGATCAGGCAGTGATTATTAGACCTACAAGATCAACGCAAGTGGTGAAACACCTGGAAAAAGTTGAGATACACAAAGCGCATATGACTGCACAGTGCATCAATCACAGGGATGCTGAAGGTTTATCAACAGCCTGGAAGTCATTTTATGATAACATAGATTAACTGTTGCAACCGTGTAGGCAGCGTTATTAATTGTTTTATAATATTTCTTGATATATAATTTTTGGTTTATTTTTAATTATTTTGGTTTAATCTATTCATTTTATGAGTATGGGCATGCGCTTTAATGTTAAGTCATGAATAAGTGCTTTGAATTTTTGTATTATTTTGAATGCTTTGTTCGTTATATGGTTCGAATTTGAACTGAAGAAGATCGCTTAAAACAGTCGAAAACGTTTTTAACATATTAAACGTTGTGCTGGAATAGAGAAAGGTGTTTGTTTATTTTATTTAATTAATTCCAGTAAGCATTTATTTATTTATGAAATTCTGATATTCATATTTAAATTTCTAATAGGAATAGGCTTTACCATAATATTTTTTTTTCTCAAACCAAGACAATTTTGAGAAAATACTCACAACAGAAATAAATTGGTACCTTTAAAATATGATGATATATTTGAGGAAGTTACTTCCGCTGCTACTATGTTTGCTATGTTTGCCTATGTTTCATAGATTTCAAGTGATTTTTAATGTCTGAATGCCCACTATCAGTTACTGAAAATTCTGAAAAGCACAGTTCATATTTCACTTTGTCAATACCATCACAAACTTTTTTCAAAAACAGATAATCCTTTCTTAATTCATCAGTAAACACACAGTTATTTTTGGCATTTTGGAAGTTAAATTAATTTAATGTACAGTACAAAATAGTTGCAAATGCCAACTAGCAATTTGAATGCAACTAAGATTGGACATGCGCAACAATGACATGCCAGTGTAAGTTTCAGCATTGCCAATTCTAATTGAAACAAAATGTAAAAAATGAAATAAAATTATCTGAATCTCACATGCTATTATAAATTCTGTGAAAAAATATCTGGATGAAAAAATAAAACATTAAATTCATTAATTAAGCCAAATGCTATAAATTTTGGGGAAAACATCTAGACAACATTAAAAGTACTTAGATCTAGATACAAAATACTTAGATTGACAACAGTGAGTGTAACAGAGGAGATATTTTAGTTGCCAAATCGCCATTTTACCTGAGGCTGCACTATTTTTACTTCTTGTATATTCGGCGCTTTTAAAATTTTACTAAATAACTGGGACAAAATGACAAACTGGCCAGGATGCAGAGACCACATCATCAAACTGGGACAATCCCAGTCAAAGCAGGGCATCTGGTAAGCCTAAATAGGAATCTAAAGATTTATATATATCTTCTCTTTATAATGTACAATTTTCTAATTAATTTACACAATTTAAAAACAGAAACAAAACAATTAAAATTAAAAAGTTTTATTTTTCAGTTACTTTATTTTATTTCAGATTTTGCAATTCTACATAAAACAAAAATCAACAGACCAATAGTATAATTGTAAAATTTCTCTAAATTCATTAGACATTAGGACATAAAAAAATGTAATTTATTTAATAAAATAATAATAATTTTCCTAGTAAATCAAAAGCATAAAAATATCAAAAAATGAAATGATAAAGAAAAAATTCTAAAACAAGTAAAACTATGATTTACATAACCTCAGGTTCCTATCAAAGGTTGAATATCAGAACTCCAAATATGTTTCTAGAAGATTTATGTAAAAAACTAAAACTCAATACAGAATATTCCAGATAAATTTCAATTAGACTTCTGTCAATCATTTCTTGAAACAATCTGGAATCCATTTATATTAATGAAAACAATACAGTTTTTAAGACCAGCAATTCAGCAATATGGTTGCATCAACTTTGATATATCTTTTGGTTACTATTTATTCTATTAATATGAATAGTTTAATTTATCATTTTATTCATTTGAAAACTTTCTATCTCCTTTTATCAACTTTATCAAAGAATAGAGTAATAGCTTTGAATTGTTGTTATGTCAATGCATGCTGAATATCTTTATTACAAATTAAACTAATAAAATGTTAATAAAGAGCTAAGAGCTTATATATATTTATTTGTATTCTTTGAAATATAGTACAGTTATACCTTGCCTTACGTCGGTAATTGGTTCCAGGAGAGGCGACGTAAGTCAAATTTACTTGTCACTAGGCTAAACCACAAATAATCATTTCCAATTTTGTATTTTATTTATAAATGAATTTTTAATAATATATGGTTAATAAGAATCTATTTTAAGCTTACAAACAAATAAATTTTAGTTTTTATTATAGTACAGAAAAAAGTAATCTAAATTTACGAATTCATGTATGTACAGTACTTTTTTTTTTCTTTGTGGTTTTAGGCCCCTTACCGCTCAGAGAGCACAAAGAGGCTAATATGTACAGTACTACTTGTAAATGTACATGTTTGCAATTTGGCAATGTTTACAGTACATCACGGACTCTTTATTTGTGAATGTGGTTTGCTCTAAGGCATTATAAAATAAGATGATTTTGTAAGATTGTAAGGTTAGATATCAAATACAGTTATTAAAATTATCTTGTGACAGTAGAAAATAAACTAATTTATATTAAATTGACCAATATCGAGTGGCGCTGACAATGACACCAAATGGTAGATATTGGAGCTACTGTGGAAAACACCAATATTGAGCACTTAAAGACTGCTAAATAAGATGACAACACAGAAGTTTTCATGTTTCGTTCTATAGGATTTATGATGATTATATTAACATTTACTGTAAATGTATATATTTTAATATGATTTTATGTGCTTTAACGTTTTTATAGTGATATTACGATTTCAATATTTGTGGCAGACGGACGTAAAGTTGAATAAAATGACATGAAGGGGTTAAACTTGATTTTTATTTTTCCATATATTTTTTGACAAGCGATGTATAATTGAGAATGACATAACTCGAAACGACGTAACTCGAGGTATACCTGTATAAATATTTTCTTGATAGCATTTACTTACATCCCATCACACAGAATATTATAACAGAATGTTGCTTAAGAGAGGCCATGCCATTTTCTTTCAATTTATATTAAAAAATCTTAGTTGTTTTTTTCTTCTTTTCAAATTGTATTAAATATTGCTTTATGAAATTCTTATTTCATTAAACAATATTTCAAGCTGATTTATTCAAAATATCTATAATTTAATATAGATATTTTAAATAATAGAGTATATCATTTGTTTTTATATTTTTTTCTGAAGAAGAAATGGCATTTGTGAATTTTCCATTTGTACAGTACATTATCCAACAATTTCTCATTTAATTATTTTAAAATAAGAAATTATTTTAGAAATTAAAACAAATTAACTACAATAAATAACTAATCAATATTAATCAAAAATAATAAAATTTTTGCTTTACTACAGCTTCTAACAAATAACTTTTCCTGAAAGTGCACTTTCAAGTTTGTAACTAATCTTTAGAAGCAGAAACATTAAATTTTAGTACAAATAAACACAAAAACTTCAAAATATCCTCTAACAGTAAATATTATAATAATAGAAGGATATTGTCTGCTAAAAGGTGACATGAAAGACTAGGCAGATATTTATGCATTTTTAAACATTTTATTTTTTTAATTTAATTTTTTTTAATAAATTTTGAAGTTTGAATCTTCATTTATAATAGAATTTACTGTTTTTACTTCCAAAGATGAGTTATAAAACTTGAAAGTGATAGATGGATGACCAAGGTGATTCAGATGTCAGCATACTGTTCTGGATAGTCTCAGGAGTAATCTGGGCAAACTCAAAAACTTTTCATGAGCAGATAAGTGAAGTCTCGTTCCTCATCATCTGACCACCTCAATTGAGTGTCTAGCAAACCCATGATGGACATGGGAAAAAAGCCTTCTTAGTGATCATGAGGCAGAAAAGGTAAAATAACAACTGAAAGATACTGAACTTGCAAAGTGAATGTTTATTTATCATAAACGTAAAAAAAAAAAACACAAATTCTGATTCCAAGTAGAAAACGGAAAATTTTTCTTGTCTATTTCTAAATTATAACGTTCAATAATTCCGTTGGTCAGAATAACAGAAGAATTACATTTATTTGGGAATGCTCCTCCCAATGACCACAGACGCATGCAACGTCCCCACACTCAACTTGCCCGAAATATGGGTTACTTTATACCAGCGTTTAAACTGCAAAAAGCACCAAGAGTCGCACAATTAGTATGATCGCTCCTCAACGCATGCGCTGCTAGTCGTGTGGATTTAAGATATTTCGAACGCCCGCAAATTCTGATTATTCATAAAAGTAATATAAAGTTTAAATTTTGACAATAAAAATCAGACAGTCAAACTGTTTTGACTTACTGAAATAACTTTAAATTATGAACTTGAAATTAGCAGTAGATCTTACTGTCTTGTAGATACCATTCTTATTTTCAAGAAATTGACAAAAGAACAATTTCTTATTACATCTATACTTACATCAATTCCCCATTCTCGGGCTTTCTGTAGCATAGCTTTTCTAATTTCTTCTTCTGTAACACCCCAATGAGTGAGAGGTAAAACAGAATCGAGGGATTTGTTGCATGGAATTACTGGCTTACATGCTAAACCTTCAACTCCTTCAACTAATTCAACAGGACCTGGAAATCTTTGTCGTGGTACTCCACATAAACCAACTTCTCCAGTTGAGAGTTTTTTTATGCGATAATGAAGAACACTGAAAAAATATTTTAAAAAATTATTTTAATTTTCTGAAGTCTGTTTTATTTGTATATGCAAATATTTATTTAAAATTTTACATAATTTTGTTTGTATAGCATTCTTAACATATTTTTTATGTAAATTGAGTGTTTAATATATTTTATGAATATTTAATAAGTTCAAAAAATTAATACAATAATTTTTACATATTTTAATAAACAAATATTAATGCAGAACCTCAATAAATTGAGGCATAGATAATCATGGTTCTACTGTATTACCAAATAATTTTGGAAAATTCCATACCATAATTAGACTAATGATATTAATTTAACAATTCATAAATTTGTGAACTGTAAAACAGACATTTCATTATCTGTTAGAGACTTTAATAATTAATAAATTTATAATAATTTTAATTTAATTTTGATAAATCATATTTCCCTGACTCTAAAAACAAAAATCTCAAACTAAATTTTAAGATTTGTTTATGAAAAGAAAAATTTTTATAATAATAAATTTTATTAGGTTTTTTTAAACATCATCAAATTAGAATAATAATAAGAAATAGGTGTTTACCACTATTTTCATGCTCTTCTGCATGCACATTTACTAACTACTTGTCTTAATAAAGATCCATAATAATGTCATCTTGAAAACACATTTAAAATGCTAAAAAGGAGTTTAAATTAATTGCTCATTAGTGACAAGGCCCATTTGAACATGTAATCATTTAACAATGTAGTCAATGGATATTTTTATCCATTATTGGTTTATAACATACCACTTGGACTAATCAATGTCTGCCCAGAGAGGGACCTAAACCCACAATGTCAATAGTTTATTTACAGAAAAATAGCTTATAAATTACATAAATTAAATGAAAGTAACAAAATCAGCAGATATCTGTTATTTTTAAACAACAGATAAATTAATAATAATTAATAAATTTTAATAACCAAATAATTAAAATATTTAATTTTAAAAATTAAAAAATGTATTAAAAAATAGAAAAACAATAAAATGTTAAAATTACTTTTATCATAAATATCTCAAATTATCTGTAATAAAAACTACATATATTAATTACACAATACTTGAGCCAAATCAACCATAGAATATATTTTTTCATGTAATGTGAATAAAGTAGTATAAATTTGTAAAAAACCGGTATAAATTTGTATAAAAAAACATAAATCTGAGTAAAAATTGTGTTCAATATAATTGAATTATCATCATTAAAACATAAATGACAAAAATAAATACAAAATAATTTGTACAGATAGATAAATTATGCTGCAACAAGTTAGTAAAATGAAATAAAACTACATCTGGCTCTTTATTATTAAGCAAAATTCTAATATTTAAATAAACTGGTTTAAACTCATTGTTTGTACAGACAGAGGTCAGTACAAATAATAAGTATAAACTTTTCTAAAAACTTTTTAATTTAATAATAATCTTTTACACAAGCTTATATTTTTAATTTATTACACAAAAAAATTATATTAAAATCAATTAATAAATTATAAAATTATTATTAAAGTCAAGTAAATTTATCAAATGACATATTAAAAAGGAGCTCTTCTATATGAATGAATTAATTTTATATTGCATTTTTGATGAATCTGATTGCAATAAGACTAAGAATGAATTTATTTGACACTCCATATTACTCATATTAACCAAAACAAGACTCTGTTTTATTTTATTTATAATTTAAATTTATAAACCCTAATGCTTTCAAATCTTACTAGTTTATCAACAGTAGTAGAAGTTTTCTAATTAAAATTATGTTGAACTTTCACAGCTAATAAATTTCAAATACTCAAAAGAATGCTTAAATTTAATTCTTGTTTTTGCTTTTGTTCTACTACTGAACAAATAAAAATTTTATTTATTTATTTATATCAATCTTTTTTGAAGAATTTTTAATGGCTAGAACAAGGTGTTCTTATATTTTTATATAATTTTTAAATTTATTAATGGATAAATGATGCTCAGCGAATTTTATTTTATTTTAGACTACAAAACATTAATACTATTTACATTTGTACTATTGTGATTATAAATTAATCAAAAAAGCTGGCAAGGGCATTTGCTTGACTTTTTCCAATACTCAAACAGGAGGTTAAGAGAGCAGAAAGAAAGTCCAATAATTTTCAATTATACTACAATATAAAATTTAAATAACAACAAAAACTTGTCTTAAAGAAAGACTGTTAAGCTGCATTTTTACGCAAACATTAATAATTATAAATTAATTTTGAATTTAACATAAAGAGGAATAATTTTGTTGAATTATTAGAAGTTTCTCTATTTAAAAAATATTTAAGTTTAAAAAACAAACAAATTAACACAAAGTTAAAATTGTATTACATCATCTATTATGAGATTTTATTAAAAAAATAATTTTTATATTGTTAATTATTACAAAAAGCTTAAATTTGAGCATAGCGGAAAGTCTAAAAAATTATAAGAGCTAATAAAAAAATAAAATTTTCATTAAGTCTACTCCTACTTGATATATGATACATGATCCCTTTTATTTCCCTACTCCTTGATCTTTAACCATCAAAATTTAATAGTATCAATGCCCTACCAAGTTTCAACATTTTTGGTTCGTCCAATTCTGAGGCATAATGCAAAACAGAAATCAACACATACACACAGAATTTTATAAGGATTGTTTTTACATTTTTTGGGCTTCTTCATTGTCAAAACTTCAGTGTCAAAAAAATGAAAAAATTGTGGGGGGGTTAAAATCTGACCAATCACCATACTTTTTCTATAATTATATTCTGTAACAACTCAGAAAGTAAAATACAAGCAACTAAAAAATAAAATAAAATAATTTTTATGAAAAAAAACTTAATGAATTAATAATAAAATACTGAATATATAAATGCAAACATTTATTTATTCATTAATTTTTTATTATATTTTATTGCATTGTTATTGTTTTTTCTCTGCTAACAGACAAAATATTTTAAAAACACTACAGCAAAAACAAAATTTAATCAAAACTATAATTTTTATAAAAGCCATTCTTGATATAATATCAATAAATTTAAATTGCTTTTTTTTTTAATTATAATATTTTTACTATTTTAACAATGATAAGATTAGGCTATATCATTTGACATAACTTTATGAATATAATATCTAGCTTTTAACTATGAATATAGATTACAATGCTAATATAAATTGATAAAAACTATAATACAGGTTCTATATTACATGCCAGAAAATCTGTAAAGTTTATTTAGATATACCAAGTGATTACAAGTGATTATAATAGAAATTTGTTGGATAGTTACAACACTATGTGTGAATAGACAGACTCCCACAGAAATTTCTAAAATATACATATATAAAATAATAACCAAAATCAAAATTATTAGCCAAATGCAAGAACAAACTGCCAGATTATTTTTCACATACTATAAAGATCAGGAATGGGCAACCTTTTGAAGTGTATGGCCAAAATTGTCAAACCTATGATGCAAAATTTTCTCATGTGCTAACAAAAATTTTTAGGAACATATCATTTGGTCTAGTAGCTAAACAACACTATGGGAAAGCTAAAGTTGGAAGATTTTTTGCTAAATTAGCAACCCTGCTTGTCAGTCAGTCACAGATGTCTTGGAAATAAAATTGTTTAATTTTCTTATTACTACTAAAACAGTTTGTTTCTTTATTGTATTTTCATTTAGTATCTACTGAGTAAAGTTGTATTCAATTAAGTTAAAATATACAATTCAGCAAAGATGCTGGATATTTAGTTTTTAAGGTGCGCTTTGGATTTTGTGCTAGAAAAAAGTCATTGGCATGAATGCCAATGATTTCCCACCCGATCTAGATTATCAACCAGAAAAAGTTTAACTCTGTTATGGGTTGTCATTTTCTTCTAAAATTTTCTAAATTATTTATGTTAAAATCAAAATTAATTTATAATTATTAATGTTTGAAAAAAAATGCAGCTTAACTGTCTTTCTTTAAGACAAGTTCAGTTATTTAATTAATTAAAAATGAACCTCAATAAAACATGAAAAATAATCCAGCAATTTAGAGTCTCAAGAGTGGTTCAATACAATAAACTCATTGAAATGGAATTGACAAGAGATGAAAATGAAAGATGGAATGAATAAATCCTCATAAATACATTTGGTTAATAAGAAAATATAATCTGTTTAATTTTTGTAAAAATAAATTGACTTATTAAAGAATAAGATGGATTTTCTCTCAATAAAGTAAAATAAATTTATGTACAGGATGCAGGACTTACAGTTGAACCAACTACTTCATCCAAAAATTGTAAAAATGGAGACAAAATATTCATTAATCAGATTTTAGAAATATTTTTAGAATGTAACAGAACAACAGAACATAAAAAATTTTTAGAAGCAAACACTTCCTAAGTTCAAAAAATTTCATTAACAAAGATGACTCTCATAGCAAGCAGTATAATTATCTGTAGACAAATTAATGTTCTACTTTCAGTATAATACAGGAAATATATTGTTCAAAATTTGCAATAAAAATTTGTGAAAAATTTTGTCCTGACTATTCTTAAGCTATTTGTGTAACAACAATGATTTTTGTTTGTAATAAAGCCAATATAATTCTCTTTCAGGTAACAATGTAATAATAATTACTACACAGGAAATTCAATTCAAATGCTAATTAAAAACAAAGTTTAAAATTGATTCCTCGTTATCTCTGATAAAACAAAAATTCTATTTAGATTCTGTGATACATATGGAAATAAAATGTCTTTGTTTATTAAGTAAAACTCCATATAAGAATTTATAAAAATCTATATTAATTTCCAGTTTTTTATTTTTATTTAATATATTTATACCAAAATTGGGAGAAGTAAAAATTATGTTACGAATGTATTAATATTGAACCAAAATCAAACAATTACATGAATCACAAGATATTTTATAAAATTTAAAATTAAAAAATACAATTTAATCCAAATAATTTTTGTTACATAATGGCTTTTTTTTATGAAAACTTACATTTATACAGTAAATAATTTACATTAAATAATTCGACTTAAAAGCTTTCTTTCAAATCTTCCCTTCTTTTTCTGAATTTGAAAAACATTCTATTTGTTACAATATTTTAATTATGAATAAAAGGATATATAATTAATAGAAAAATTAAGTAATTAAATAATATTACAAATAATTAATTTACTTTGTTGGATACAAATGAAATATACAAAATACAGTAGATCCCCCTATAAGACGGTAGATACGTTCCGTTCTTTATGAATCAATTTTGTAGGAATCATAGTTTACGGACTACGGCTGTTTGAAAGGTTTTCTTTCATAAAATTAATCGATTCTAGACTAATTCGACTCAACATTTCCAAAATACGTATATTTTTTTGAAAATAATCCGTATAAACTACGTTATAAACAAAAAATTGTAGGATTGCTTACCGAGTGTGTACCGTTCGACTACGCCCGTTGCTAAAGCTTGGTTTCGTCGCGGAACAGCGCATCAAACCGCGGCCGCGATTTCTGATATTATTTTTCTGCGAAAACTTCGTTGACCTTTGGAGACATCCTTAATATAAATAATTTTTATGGCCGTTAAATAAGAAATGTTTCTTTCACAAGAAATGTATAAAATTACAGTACTGGACAGACGATAGGTCGCCTAACTCGCCGTAGCGTGACGCTAGACGGCGAAAAATATATATTTAATTATAATAAAGTTACAATAAATTAAGTTAATATATAATTATATATACAGTACCTAATTTATATATAATTAATATATAATTATATGTACAGTACCTAATTTATATATAATTATATGAACAGACGATACTAAACTCAATTTATCCGCCTAAACGTCCGTAGCGTGGCGCTACGGACGGCGGGTAAGTAGTTCGGCTGCCCGATGACGTTTTACGTATTATAGGAGTTATTTTTACCGTTGTTTACGGATAATGCCACAATTTTTATAGGAATCATAACTATAGGAAACGGTTTTATAGGGGGATCTACTGTATAAGTTCAGAAAAAAAAAAGCAGTTATTCCATTATAAAATATTGTAAATTTAAACATGCAGAAATCCTTGAAATTTTAACTATTCCAAGCTTTCTGTCAGAGTTAGAAATTATTTGGAATAATTTAAATTCAAAATCCTCTGCATGTTTATAAATTTTTAGTTTGGGTTTTTCTTCTTGAAGATGAGATGTTATGGCCAAAAAGGCTTGGAAAATTTTTCCCACTTCAACATTTTTGTTATTCAGAGTAACTTGTTCCTTGAAACTTAAAAGAATTGTTATCATCCTTACATAATGTAAATATTACTTCTCATTAAAAATAAAATTAATATTTTAGCAAACAGGGATATAATTATTTACAGTCTGTTTTAAAAACCTCACATTTTTAATACTATAGCAGTAAGAATAGATTCAAATCAGTTTAAAAATGGTTTGTTTCATCACTATAACAAAAATTAAAACTGAATAAAGATTATGATGTGATTACTTTAAAAATCAAATTAAAACATAAGAAAAATATTTCAGTGTATTGATTTAATTGAGATTTTAAGACTTTACTTTAAGATTATGTCACATACACACAAACATTTTTTTTAAGTTTATGATTATTATTTATGATTATTTACATTTTATCTCTTCTTATTCTAATTTGTAAAAAACATTTATACTATGAATTATTTGTTTTTTGAAATTTATTTTGATTTAAAATTTATACATTTTGTAAAATATAAAGACTAATAAATAGATTTTTGAAATAAATAAAAATTTTGAAAATTAATATACTCATTTAAATTCTATTAATTACTTTAAACATGTGTAAAAGTTTAGTATCCATTCAATTAATAAATATCAGTTTTTAAATGCATTAAAATTTTTAATGATAATGAAACTTTTACCTTTTTTGATAGCACAAGGATAAAACATAATCAGTATTACTTTCCCGTATAAGATACATTCCATCTTGGCATCCTCTGTCCCACAAAATCCATTCAGCAGTCTCACGGGAAATGTTTCCATAATAATAAAGCATAGACTCTACTGGCACAGCAGTTATTGTGGAAGGTGGTGTAATATCCTCACTCATTGTGACCACATCTTGGTAGTCTAATTCTGGTAGGTAAGGGTAACATCCATTGGTACGATAGATGGAATATAATCTATAATATCAAAAATAACCAAAAGAATTCAGTGACAATTAAAAGAATTACTACATAATTCAAATTAAATTTTAAAGGTATTCATCAGAAAATAAACATTAAATTATTTAACTAACAACTTAAATTTTGAATATTTCATTATAAATGGAAATAAATTTTTAATTAAATTATGCTGTTTATTAATATAATATAAAAGTTACTTATTATTATTTCACTAGAAAATAACTATTTTTAAGTTTAAATCTATCACCAATGAATATGTAGAACATGTATTAAAAGTCTATTGTTATTTAAAATAATAAATGTAATTTCCTAAATATAAAATATTATTTTAGTTAATGAATTATTTTCAATTAAATTCAAATTATACCGCATCACTCATCAACTTGACTACCCAACTATAGTTTTGATATGTGATTTCTAACAAGAATTGAGTTAATAAAAATATTTGAAAAATTTTTTGTAATATATTACTATTTAATATTTTGATCATCAATAAATTATATATCATATCTTAAAATAAACATTGTTTTTAATATAATTACAAAAATTATTTATAATTAAATGCCAGAAATGACACTTTTCTTTTTATTACTACAGTATTACCAATAGCATGTCACTATACTGATCATTAACAANCAAATGGTCTCCAACCAGAATTGAATCATGCACAACCAATTCTAGCATGTACAGCTCATATTCATTGGGATCCAGAATTCTGTGATGTTAAACTTATCCAAACCATGATGCTAATGCATGAACTTTATACTATTGCTGAAGAAGCCAATGCAGTATTTTATCCAAGTTCTCAGAAACACGATGTCAACAACATTCCTCTTCTTCTCTGTGGTGATTTTAATTCTCTACCAGAATCAGGTATTTTTTTTTATTTTGTTAATATGTTAAACTCTCGTCTAAAATAGCTAAATTAACTAAACTAAAATAGCATTATTCACAAACTTATGTTTAAAAAAAAAGTGATTTCATGTCACAGATAATCCAGTACAGTTTTGACTTAGTGGGATCATGCTTGATCTGGCCATAAGACTTATTCTGCTTGAGAATAGTTCTTTTAAATGTAAGGAATCAGGCAGTGTCATATACATTCATTTAAATATCAGTGGATATTGATAGCAAAACTTAATTTTCTGTTTAGGACTTGACACAATTCTTTCAGTCCCATTGCAGTCCAAACTGAAACTTTATTCTCAAGTTTTCCTCAAAACTTTACAGGTGTAGAGAAGGTATCACTGGTATAAAATCTACCATTTACATTGATTGTTGAGTGCAAAACAGTGAATATTCATCATCCAAAACGAACTTTCAGAGAAATTTTACAATAAAGTTCCATACTTTTATTTTTGCTTGTTATCTCTGCATATTTGTTTTGTGCAGAATGACCTGCTTCTTGCTTTTTTTTTTATTTTGTTTTCAGTCTCATTGAGTGAACTAATTTTCAGTTCAAGGTTACAAATAGAATTGAAAGTCACTGACTTCAAAAACACTAATTAATTGGCTTTTGTTAGAATTTTTGCTTCTCTACCAGATCTGTTTATTCTCTGTGGTGGTAATCCACTCTTATTTTTAAGTTTAAATCTATCACCAATGAATATGTAGAACATGTATTAAAAGTCTATTGTTATTTAAAATAATAAATGTAATTTCCTAAATATAAAATATTATTTTAGTTAATGAATTATTTTCAATTAAATTCAAATTATACCGCATTACTCATCAACTTGACTACCCAACTATAGTTTTGATATGTGATTTCTAACAAGAATTGAGTTAATAAAAATATTTGAAAAATTTTTTGTAATATATTACTATTTAATATTTTGATCATCAATAAATTATATATCATATCTTAAAATAAACATTGTTTTTAATATAATTACAAAAATTATTTATAATTAAATGCCAGAAATGACACTTTTCTTTTTATTACTACAGTATTACCAATAGCATGTCACTATACTGATCATTAACAAGCATTGATTCTGTTATCAAACATATCTTAAAGTTTAAACATGAACTAAACATGATGTAAAGTAAACATAAACTTTAAACAATTGGAACATTGTTAAATATCTTACAAAGAAATACAAAAGATTTTAAAAGCAAATAAGACAGTCTCCAGTTTTTTCAAGAAGAGTTGTGATGCTTTAAATTTTATTACCATCCACATTAGAAAGGAGTCTTTGTAGTGATAGAGATTAAGAAACAAGCAATCTTAATTAATAGGGAAATAACATTCTAGCTAAATTATATGTGAAAGGTACCCATGACTGAAAAAAGAAATTCTTTTTTATTTACTTATTTCAAATTTTTTTTTATAAATCCTTTTAGACATATTAGTCATGTAGTTAATTCAGTGTTATATTTTAAATTATAAATATATTTTTACTAACATAAAATATCACAAAAATATAGACAGAAACAATACAGACATTCTTATAGTTTGCATTAAACTATTACCATATATATTATTGCAATTAATATAATATAATAATTCATTAAATTATATTGATCAAAAGATAGAAATTCAGGCTCTACATTAAACTAATAACAGGCTAAAATTATGCCATTTAGTCCATTAAATCTAGTATATATAGTGTAATTTGGCTTACTAGTGGTTTCATCTGTAGAAATTTATTACAGATCATTAAGATTTTTCTGGAATATGATCAAGAACATTCCAGAAAAATCATTTAAAAATTTGAATTTTAAGTTCAGATTCATATAATTATTAAAAGTCATAAATGTTAATCAATTGTAACATCTAATTGAATTTTAGTTATGTTCATTGGGCAATTTGAAAAAAGTTGTAGACCTATAAATTCCCCACTGTCATCGTATGTCTATCTTTCCTTAATCTTGAGAACAGAATTAGATAGATGAAATCTAAGACCAGATATGAAAACCTTAAGAGCAGGAGGCCCTGATTGACTGTATGTGAACTTCCTGTTTATGTTGGAAGTTATGTTATTTCAATTCAAAATTTTTCCCTGAAAGCAGTTAATAGATTGCGGCGACAAATCACGGACTGGTGAGATGGTGCCACTCCTCTAGGAGTTTCCCGTGAATCCCGGATTAAAAAACAGGGACAAGGGTTTTTTCTGGATGGGATTCTGGGTATTGTTGCTTTTTCTTGCTGGGTGATTGCTGACATGAACACGTGTAGCTCTTTCTCAAGTGTACTCATAAGATTGTTGTAAATAAATGTTGTTTTAGTTTAAAACGCGGTCGTGGACTTAACTGATTCACGTTTACCACCTTCTGATAAAGACAGTCTTTATGGAGATGGAAATGGATGGAGAAAGACGGCCAGGTTTCATCTAACTGATGGCGGCCATCCATTACCTCCAAGATGATTAGTACGATTCTATTGTTAAAAAAAAAGTATGATGTACAGGGGTAAGACACTACAGTACTAATTTGAGGTGGAGAGCATATACTTTAAATTAAATAAATTAAAAATATGATTAAAAATTGCAGCCTGGCATTGCCACAATAAATAATTGCTCATTTAAACATTATATTTTTGTTTCTAAATTGATTTAATAATGTTTTATATTTCATGAAACTATTTACTTAACATTTCTGTAACTTCTATATAAACATTTATTATTATTAATCAGAATTAATATAAAGAAATATATTTTAAATGCATATTAAAATTTTTAATATATTTAATTTACATTTATTATGGTGAAAAATGAAATTTTTTTATCATTTCTTAACTAAATAATGAGAACAAATTGCTATAAACAGTAAAAATCTATATAATTATGGAAAAAAATTTGCACTTGTCCACCATTAATACTTAAAAAATGTAAAGATCTGATATTTGCCAGAAGACATTCTGCTTGAGAAAACTTTTTTTGAATGTAAAGAATCAGGCAATGTTATATACATTCATTTAAATATTGCCCAGCAATATTTAAATGAATGTATTCTGATCAGAGTTTGATTCAATCCTTTTGATTCTGCTGCAATCCAAACCAAAACTTTGCCAGGTGTAAAGATATCACTGGTATAAAATCCACCATTCTATTGATTGTTGAGTGCAATTCAGTGAATAAGATTCATCCAAAATAAAGAACTTTTCAGAGAACTTTCACAATAACCTTCCATGCTTTGTCTTTGCCAGTGACCTACAGATATTCATTCTGACAGGATTACCTGCTCCTTTCAATATTTGATATATGTTTTTGTTCTCAAATTCTCATGGAACCAACTATATAAAATTTTCAGTTTTAGGGCTACAGATTGAATGAAAATCTTGTTGTTGTCTTCAAAGGTCCTCTTCAATCCTTCTAATTTTGTTTTTGCTAGAATTTTCACTTTTTTACCATATCTCTTTATTCTCTGTGGTGGTAATCCACTCTCAAAATGTTGAAGAATGCAATATATAGTCTGTTTTGAAATTCCTTCATTGTAAAATGGTTTATAGCAGGGGTGTCAAACCCGCGGCCCAATAAACATGTAAACAAAACTGACAAATGTTTTAATTTTTTTATTATTTATTTATTTCAACGGTGTAAACTCAAAAAAGAAGTTTCACAAAGCCGTAAACCTTTATTTATATTTTATTTTTGAGCGGAAAGAAAATATTTTCAAATACTTGGAGATGTGTGAATGAGGAGGATTACTAAATAAAGCTGGAGTTATGACTCAAAGGATTATAGACCCAAATTTGGGAAAAGGAGGGAAAGGTGAGAAAGGACAAAAGATAAAAAGTAGTGAGAAAGGGTAAATAGATCTTCTGTTATGCAAATATTGACCCTTAATTTTCCAACCTTTCTCACTTCTTTATCTTTTGTCCTTTCTCTCCTTTCCCCCTCATTTGGGTCTACAATCCTTTGAATCACAACTCCAGCTTTATTTAGTATTTCTTCCAACGTTGCAAGATTTGGCTACATTGCGCCAAATGTGACTAATTTTTTTTGTTTGACGTAAAAAATATCATTTGGCGCTTTGGCTACTTTTGGGCTACA